AAGAATGTCATATAAGAGTAAATAAATAAATTTATATTCAAATAAAATAGTTCTCTCTTAATGATTTGGTTTTTTGCGGATTAAATATTAACATTAAATGAAGCATTTATACTTTTTGTAATACATCAACAAATTATGCAGGAACAATCCACTGTTTTTCAACTTTTATAGTTCATTAAATTTAAAATATTTTTCCTTGCTTCGTAAAGTCTATTGTTATCTGCATCTCATTCCACAATATATTTAAATGCTACATTTAACGGATAACACATTCCATAAATATTTCATATAAAATAATTATTTTTTAATTTCAAAATAGAGAATTTATTAGGTATATACCGACTTACAGGCGTTTCAACTAATTTCAAAATTCCTTAGAATACATATTATTTTTATTTAAACTTTTTAAAGTATGGACGAAGTTTTTCAAAGAAACATTATTTTTCTATAGTTAAAAAGTATGTTTGCAACATTTCTACATAATTCATATACTTAATACTGTTTTTTATAAACTCTATTTCAAAATAAGATGTTTAAAAGGAAAAAATATATCGTATTGATGCTTTTTAAAAAAATCGAACCATTATTGGTATTAAAGAACTGATGCAATTAATTTATGATTAATATTTTTCAGCTGCAGTGTTATACTAAATTGCTAGTTGTGATAGGCTTTTTAAAAGGTGACAAAATCGTTGATCGTGTAGTATAGTATAGTGTTGTATATATAATTTATATTGAGAATATAGTCTAAAGTATCCAAAATGGTGCTATTATGTTTTTTTATTTAAGACAAACGGGTCACCAAATTTTTGTACATAGTTCTAGTCAAAGATTTAAGTCTAACATGTATCTTTAATTACATATAAGCAGGGATCGAAATTAATAGTTATTTCCAAGAGTTGAAATATTTTATGTTCACGTTAAAAAAAATTAAATACAGTCAAACTTCCATAACACGAACTTCTCTATAACTCGAATAAAAATATTGTCACGTGCCAATAGGAATGTGGGAAAATATTCTAATACTTGAATTTTTGTTTTAAATATAAATCCATTTTGGTATTAAAAAAAGAAAAAATGCTTAATTTTTTCTTCTTTATGCAAATGCCAGTCGCTGGCATTTATGCAAATGCATAGAACTGACATTTCTTCCACCGAATGTGACCTCAAAATTGCAACCGCCTGAACATGGAGTAATGCAAAATATAATGTGTAACTATTCTCTAACTAGAAAACTTCATAACTCGAACCTTTTCTTTGCAAAACGGTACTTCGAGCTATAGAAGTTTGACTGTATTTCATTATCTTTCTTTACAAATCAACACATCAACGCGTCTTTTGATACTATATGGTTCCAAAGAGATTCAAGTCTATATTTGAAAAATTGAACTTACTGATATTAAAAAATATTAATTAAAAACATATTTCAATGTTTTTAAAAATATACAATCATTTTTCCTAAACAAAATAAAAACAGTATTAAGTAAATTCTATATATTGCAAAATAAATATTATATTTGGTATTAGTTTAATGAATAGTACCAAATATTTTTTATATAATGAATTACTAAATTAGTTTTAAATTTTTATCAATGATTTCATAAATCTGAATTTATGAAGAAAAATGAACATTTTTAAAGTAATTATTTAATTACACAAATGATTTAGGTTTATTTAATTTTTTTTTCACACAAATTTTATTTAAAAACAGCAAAATGCTGTATTCTGTTTTATAAAATAATTATTAAAATTACAATATTAAAACATAAATTTTTTTGTAATATTTCGATATTTGTTTAAAATTATAGAATTATGTTCACATAGAGCAACAAATACTGAAGTAAAAACATAAATTTAAGCGCAGAAAATTATTTCAGTATATATAAGGTTAATATATAAATAAAAACAAATAAATTAAAATATGTATTCAATTACATATAATATTGCATAAATAAATGTGACCATAAAACTGAATTTTAAAACAAATAAGTTAATACTTTACATTTTATGAGATTTTATTACATTTATATAAAAAATGTACGTGCAAAGTAACTGAATTGCTTTAATTATTTAATTATAAATTTAAAATGTTCAAATCATTGAGCTTGTCAAAATATTAATCATTTAAATTTCAAAGGCGCTCAAGAGGTTCTTTTTTTAAATTATTCTTTTAACTGATATATATTCTATATTAAGCTGAAGCTATTCAAAACTTTAGCTTTCTACTTTTGGAATTTCTTCTTTATTAGTTTCATCCTTTGTGTCGATCTTATTATTAGTTTTTTTGTCATTTATATCCTGTAAAAAGATTTAACAACGATTGAAAATTTGTTAATTAATTATTGTTAATGTTAATTGAATTTA